ATATCATTCTTTCCCCCTTGTTGATTTAGCTGTAAAAATGGTCTTCAGCTGCTGCGCAGTCGGCTGCACAAACAGACAAGGAAACAAACCAAACTTGTCCTTTTACCGTAGTCTTAAGCTGCGGCGCAGTCGGCTGGATCTGGAGACTCTCCGGTTTCGGACCGCTGCGCTGCTGGTTCTAAAATATTATAATCTCTCCGTCTGCCCACCCGCAGCACTCCGTGTCCTAGTGAAGATATAAACAACAGTGATAGCTGGAAATATAGTTGTTTTTACTCAATGCTGAATGTAGTTGAGTGAAAGGTCGGAGGAGAAGCTTTTATTTATTTATTTTTTCCACGTTGATGGAGTAAACACAAGTTGCGCATTCAGGTGGTCATAAAATCAGACCAGCTGATTATCAAAGCTGTTCATCTTTATAATTTAACTGGGAATGGATCATTTCAGCTAAATATCAAACAGAAAGAGCACTGTTGTAACCCGGAGCTGTTTAACATGATGAAGAGAAGCTACTAGCTTGTTAGCTTGCTAGCCGCGTTGTCGGTTCTCCGATTCGAGGTGCTCGGTAATCCGAGAAACATCTAGAATCACGTATGGAATCAGCAAATAAAAATACATTTGCATTAACAAGCAAGTCTTACCTTCGCCATTATGAGATATCGTCCCTCCATGTAACAGTAGCACCCTGTCCTGTCCCGGTCAACCCATCCAGCAACAAAAAACTGATAAGCATCCTGGCTTTTATATGATTTTAAGTCATCTCCAGTGTAGGGGGAAACACCATGTATGACATAGTGGTATAAGTCATGTGGCGTGAATTCAGGCAAAGTTTGCGTTTTGATCAAATCAACAAACACAACATCCGGAGGGAGAAGATATGGGTCGATTTCTATCTAGCTATGTCCAACTTCTGTAAATAACGCTGTCTGTGAGCCCCAACTAGGTGTGCGACTTCCACAGATAAATTATCTAAACTTGAACAAGTAGAAACCATGGCAAAAAGAAAAAAAAAACAACTTCAAAAAACAATCGCTGCCATTCAGTTCAATACACCGCTCCGTGTCTTCTGCCATCCAACATGCCGGAATCACATGACTTTGTCACGTGGGTGCAAAGGGTCAATAGTTTTTTTGCAAATGCAATTAGCTGCAGCAGCAGCTAGCTGTGTTACCGTCTGTGTAGTTTATAGCTGTTCCTGACAAAAACATCCTAATATTTCTGCCCAAATAACCATATACTGAAAATGTGATGGCAGTGTCAGTGGTTTATAAAATAGTGTTTTTATGAATTGTTATGAATGTTTGGGTTTTCGAGTTGCTCATAAGTCAAAAATAAACCCTATTTCTTCAAATTGAGTTTGTTTGAAAAGCTATGCATAACAGGTAAGACATTAATTGTTTATATCCTTTCCACAGAACCCCACTTTAAAAGACCTGAGCTATTGCTTTAACTTAAATTTGACTTTTGCAGTCCTTGTAGCCAAAACCACTCACAGTGTGTCAGTCAAACTTATTGTAGTTAGCCCAAGTTGCCATGCATTAAAACATCTCCGCCTCATTAGTTTCAGTAGATTGGCTGCCATGCTACAGATCAGCATTTTGACTCAGTGCTTTGCCTACTTTCCACCACATCACCGAGCTGCTAGTTGTTGCCTGAGACAGTTTCTGTTCCGAGTTTGAGCCTGCTCATCTACACTGCAGCTTCTTCTTCTTCTTTTTCTTGTCTTTGTCTGTTTTAACTTTGTGCCTTTCTAGGCCTCTAAGGAAGCAGGACAAGCCTTGGTGGTAAAGGCCGCCACCCCACCTTTTGAGAGCCAGCACCATCATTTGCTGCATTGCTTGGAGAAAACCACGGTAAAATACTCTCAAATTTTAATTAAACAGTTATTTTTATGACAAATGATCACGTGTTGATTGTTTTAAAACCCCAACTGACATTATAACAGAACGCAATGATTTGCAAATCTCATAAACCCTTATTTTATTTACAGCTGAACATATCCAAGGTCGAAACTAAATAATTGTAGCTTTTTGGAGGGGAAAAAAAAAGAATTTGTTTAGATTTTTATGACAGAAACACAATTTAAAAAGATGGCTTGGGGCCATGTTTCCCACTGTGAAGCATCTTCACTTGTTTTAACGACATTAACTTAATGTCTAAGATTGTAGGAGACTAGTTGCTGGAGAGGAATGATGTCTGATCGTTGTTTGTTGTAAGATAATGTTCAATAGTCTGGGCTGGATCATCTTTGCTGGATATTTGTTGGGCAAAAACATATGTTGTTCTAAAACCGGCACCTTTGCTTTGATCATACCTTTCCAGATGTATAAGCTGTCCATGCCATAGGCACTAATGCACTCCCATACCATCAGAGAGGCTTTTGAACTGTGCACTGACAACAGGCTGGAAGGTCCCTCTCCTTTTTTGCATGAGGGACGTGGCATTTGTGATGTTCAAAAAGATGTTCCAATTTTGATTTTTCCAACCACAAAACAGTTTTTTATTTTTATTTTGCCTCCGTCCATTTTTAATAAACTCTGTTCCAGATAAGACAGAATTCTTTTGGATGATGTTCACACTTGTTTTGCTCAATAAAGATTGCCTTTGTGAAACAGCATTTGTGAATGTCACGATGAACAGTGGAATTCCCAATTTCATTGAGGAACATTATTCTGAAATTGTTCGACTTAGATGTAATTTTTGCAGACTCTGCCCAGAGTTCCTCTTTAAAACATTATTTTTACACACTTCTACTGACCAGTTTTAAATTAACATAATTAGCCTAATCATGCTCTTCTAACTGTATTATATTCATACAAATTTAGTACTTTTTTCGTTTCCCATAATCCATCTTTTTTTAGATGTGTTGTTGCCATAAAATTCAAAATTACATTAGATTTTTTTTTTTGTTTACTGTGTTTTCAAATGGGGGGAAATGTTTTCTGCAATTTGTAAATCATTGCATTTAGTTTTTATTTACATTTTGCACAATGTCCTAACTTTCTCAGAGCTGGGTTTGTACTATCTAACAGACTTTTCACTGTTAAAAATAGCTCTCTGTAGAAAACACACTCCTCTTTTTATCCCATTGCGTCACTCTCACAGTCTGCGCTTCATCTTCACTAGTGCAAACCTGTTACAGTGAGTTAAAAATAGAAACAAAGTGATATTTTTTTCTTCATCCACGCTCTAAACTGTAGGATCTATTTTATATGCAGCATGAGTTAAAAATAGCTGCAAATGGGGCTGAGAAATGTCGAGTTCCTTTTTTTAGCAACATGGCAAGAAAAACATGACTCTGCCTGCCAGTTATTTTTTCCCCTTCAAAACAAACCAGCATGCTTCGTGTTTCACTATCTATAATTTAAGATGTAAGAGTCGCTTTGATGCTCGTGACATCATTTTTACACTCCCAGCTTGAAACTCTGTGCAAAGACAGGGAGAAGTAGTAAATCAGACTGGCTCCTCGTGGATGATTTTAACTGATAAAAGACTTGTCGTTCGTCTGGAAGAAGAAAAAAGAAAAAAAGCTCCTAGAAAAAAAGGAAAAAATTGCTTGCATACCATCAGATGGATGTGCAAATGTTTACACGAGGCGCTCGTGGTGTACATTATAGATAACAGAGACATGAGCAGAACTGAAAGAGGGGGAGGTGGGAGAACAGAGATGTGATTCAGGATACACCATCAGCTCCTTCATGGTGTCTCTCTGCCACCTGCTGGTGGGACCGACAACATATTTAAAAAACTGACCTTCAAGTCACGTTCATTTATCACTGGGATAACAGTTGTGTTTTCACAGATGGCCCCTAATATGGACATCTGGGCCAATATAGTTCTAATCTGCTTGATAATTCACTTTTCATTTATCAAACCATTTTCTGTTCAGTCTGTTTAATCTGTCTCTGTGAAACATCTTTACTCATGATTTAACAGAGCTGGAAAAAAAAATAACAAAAACAACAACGAGCATTCCAAATTGTCCCTGCCTGTTCCTCCCGCAGAATCACGAGTTTGTGGATGAGCAGACGTTCCAGGCCAACTGCATGGAGGTCTCCGTGGTGAACAAGGCGGGCTCTCGCTCCTCCTCGCTGTCCTCGTCGCCGCACGGCCTCGGCTCGTGTTGCTCCCGACGGCATAAGAAGAAGAGCAGCTTCAGCCCCCCGAGCACCAACAACCAGGAGCTCAGCACCATACAGATAAGAGAAAGGCCGGTGTCCAACAGGTAGATAACACTGAAGAAAAATATACAAATAGTAATAAAAATAATGGAAGACCTAGCATTCTTTGAAGGTTGCCCAGAAATTAATGTTAAATTGACTTAACTGAGTTTTGTCAACTGATTCCACTAAAGCAATTTACACATTTTCTAAATGAGCAAACTTGACATAACTTAAAGTAAATTCAGCATTTCATTTTTTAGAGTGCTTCATTTGGGCTACATATATACAGTACTATATATAAAAAATACATAATTTTAGCTAATTTGGTCAGACATAACAAGGGCGTCCAATGGGTTTTGACAGTCTTTATGTTGTATGTGCTTGTTTAGCTGCTCCCAACACATCTGATTCAGTATTGCCTCAAGTTCTGCATAAGTCTGGTAACCACCTCTGCATTCAAATCAGGCATGTTGGAGCAGAAACAGGAGGTCCACCCAAGGACCACGTTTGCCCTAAAAGTTAAACTATAACCGTTTTCTGCTTTCTGTGCGTTTCTTTTGAGCAATTCTTCTATAGAAAATATGTAAATTACTTTACATTTGCTCAACTTGGTTTAGTGGAACCAGTTAATATAACTTGGTTAAGTAAATTCAATATTTCAGTTTTTTTAGAGTGCGTAAGAAAATACTTTCATGATGAGTTCGGTCATATTTAAATTTGCAGCATGTAACGAGGTGTTACATTTCAAAGTAAAGAAGCAAAAGTATCACCATTTAAATGTTACAAGACAAAAGTAAAAGTTACAAATTAAAAAAATACTTGGTAAAACTACAAATCCTCAAAAAATGAATTAAGTACTGTACACAAGTAAATGTACTTTGTTACTATATACCTCTGCAGATTATACAGTGAGGTTGGCTCTCAACTAACATCAAAATTAGCACAATATTTGTAAAATGTTGAGTTTTATAGAATTTTTTTATTTGTAAAGTTTGTTGTGGTGGCCATCTTGAATGAGGTTTACTCCAAATGTCAATCACTTGTAGATGTTTGTCCAGTGACAACCTTTTGAAACTTTCAATAACATTAATTTAGTTGTTTATGAGATATTTTACTAACAGCACAGACATCTCTTTGCCTTGTCTTCGGTGGAGGCTGATAAAATGGGATGCAGTGATTTGCAAATTATTTGAGTGATGCTTTATTTACAGTAACAATAAAAACTGCTGAAACAAAGACATTCACTTTCTTTTGCCTAATTAAAAAAAACATTTCTCCAAATAAAAGACTAGTGATTTTAACATGCCTCAAGTTTGAAATCAGTCGAAAATTTGAGAATTTCTAGTCACGTCTGGACACAAGAAGCAGCATTGAACAGTGGTGATCTTCAGGCCCTCGGGCAGTTCTGCTGTGTTTGTAGTGGAAATCACTGCAGCAGCCCAGGAACTCTTCTGAGACCTGTTCTTTGTAAACACATTTCTTTGCCGCACTTACAAATGCGAGTTCCGCATTTTACAATACAAAAGAATCGAACATTTATGCAGAACATTCAGAGTTTGGAGCAACATGTGCTGCCATACAAACATTTCTTTTAAGTTTGAACATCATGGCTTTGTGCCAGGAAAAACAAAAAGTCCACATTCTAGAACTATTACACATTATAAAAACATAAACTGAGACAAACTGGACCCAAAAACATTGCGCAGTTCAAACTTTATGTTCTTAGTTCCCATCCAATTACAGAGGGTTAAAGAAGCTGATGCAACATGGTAGAAAACATGAACTTGTCTTAATTTCTTTGAGGCACGTTGATGGAATTATAGCCTCAGATTAGCCTTTTTGTATCCGTAGGTTCTGAAGCCTTCTTAAAAGCCCACCAAATACAAAGACCTCTAATTAGCCTCTGGTTAGACGTCCTAAATCTGATGCAATGGTGCAAAAGAGTCTCAAAAATAAAGAATATGAATTAACAAAAAGCCTAACTTTCTTTGAAAGAATGTATATTTAAATTAAGGGCATTTTATGATGAGAAATACCAAATTATTCTTAAAGAAATTAAAAATGACGTTTTTCAAATTATGTTTAATGTAGCATTTAGAACATACATAACTTAACATATAAAGAAGAAAAGATTAAATTTAGAATGACACATGATTAGCATTCACTTTACATGCC